AAAACATTTTTTTATATATATGTTTAATCTAATATCTTAATATATTAAGATAAAATATATTTGATTTAAAAGAAGGTATTAAATTGTTATTTAAGTAATTTTTCTTTTCATTTATTAAGTAACATTTAATACATAAATAATTTAAAAAACACGATAGGAGGCAGAGAAAACGAATTATTCTAAAAAATCTGATTTTTTCGACCTTTGACCTTGAATATCTAAGGCCGCTCACACGTTGGCATATGTGACTATTGAGACAACATTTGTAATGCTAAAACAAAGGTTTGTACAAAAATTCAGCTTATTCCGTTAGATTCCGAGGTTGATCCCTTTTTTGACTAAGATGACTGTACTATAACTTAAACAAAAAAATTACAATGGAGTAGTTTTATTAATATAAATTAACAATTTTCTAAATACAATATTCCAGGCCGCAATGGACCTGTCGAACCATTATAGAAATATTTCCTTAAAACTCCCGAATATTCTGGATTGTTCTTGAAATGTTCTTTGCGAATATTAGTAGAATCTTCCGTCAAATCTACTAGAAAGGTTCCGGTTCTTTCAGGAATATACTTTTAAATTCTGGAAATATTCCTTTTGATTATTTATAGTACATTTCGTCTTAATCTACTTCAAATCTTCTCATATTTCAGGGAATAAACAATTTTGTTCTGGACATATTCCCCAGGGATTATCAATAACTAAAATTTAATTGTCATATTTTAATCCCTTTTACATTAAATTGATAAATAGTCATTGCAATTTACCTAACAAGTTATTAGAACCGAGTATTCTCACTTATTACACTGTGCGACAATTTTCAGGTCATCGAAATCAAACCGCACCGGGCCACTTTTTTTCTGAAATATACCTACCCTCGCTGGGTTTGTAAAAGTTTGCTCGAATTTTATTTATGGCCGTTTGTATTTTCGAGCTTTATATACCCCAATTTGTACCTATAAATCGATTTTTTCCCATATATTTAATTTATATCGTCAAGATTTGTAGAAATGTAGTTACTGCACAAATAAACCCTTTTTGTAAACAAAATGTATACCAAAAACCCAATTTTTGAGACCAAATATTCGAAAAATTAATTTTTTTTTTAATTTTTCGATAATATTTAAAATCTCCTGCTACTTCTTCTGGCAAAAATGCTGTAAAGTATACTAAAAGAATTAATTTATAAAATACGCACACAAAACTAAACTTTAAGTTTCCAAAATATTCATCTTTTCACACTCAACACCAAATATTTTGCCGAAATCTTTGGAAAATCTGTAGGAAAAAATTGAATAGATAAAATAATATTGTAGAAAAGTACAGAGAGTTTGATTTTTTATTTTTTATTAATTTTATTATTAAAAAACTTTTTTATACCAAAACATTGAGTAATCTGATTCATTGCCGGAGAATTCTATCCTTTCCACTTCTTCTCCTTTATTTTCTTGTTCTTCATTTTCATTTTCTTCCTGATCGTAGTCAAAAATATGTTTAATTCACCAAAATGTTTCGGCTAGTATGGCATCTGGAGCTCGTTTTTCTCTGTATCTGGATTCAAATGGCATCGCAGTTTGATGATATTGCTCTTCCTGCTCATCTGATTGTGTCGATAACTGTCGACTAAAGTAGTCAAAATGGTGATGAGGAAAAATAATTTTTAGCGACATATTGACTCCAATTTTGGAAAAAGCTCATTCAATATTTGTCGCACAGATCCTTCATAATTGGGAGAACGATGTTTGCCCCGTCCAACGATGATTTCTCTTATCGACGCCCACGCAACTATCTCATTGTCAACCAAGGCCCTATCAAAGTCTTTAGTCCAAATACATAGGAAAACGAGCTAGCCGAAACATATTTTCGACTACGATCAGGAAAAAAATGAAAATGAAGAACAAGAAAATAAAGGAGAAGAAGTGGAAGGGATGGAATTCTCCAGTGATGAATCAAAAAATGAAAATGAAGAACAAGAAAATAAAGAAGAAGAAGTGAAAGGGATGGAATTCTCCAGCAATGAATCAGATTACTCAATATTTTGATATAAAAAAGTTGTTTAATAATAAAATTAATACAACTATCTATACTTTTCTACAATTCTATTTTATCTATTTAATTTTTTCCTACAGATTTTCCAAAGATTTCGGCAAAAAATTTGGTTTTCGAAAAAAGAAAACAATCTATCAATTAGCCATTTATTTTATATCAGAAAACAGATTTATTTTGAGCAGTCTTCCGGATATTTAATCGTTGTTTTAACTTTTTTTGACATTACCTGTAACATCGGCTTCTGAACATTTTCAAAGTTATATATTTACGTAGTACAATGTGCGAGGTGAGACTTAGTGCTTTGGGTGTGATAAGTATTGAACATAAACGTGCGCGTAAACTTGATTTAGAAGTTGGTCGATATATTTTTAAAACAAAAACACCGCCGTTTTGACAATTTAACAGTACTTCCTTAAACTTTCTATTCCCCGATCTATCCACTAATAGCTTCACTAGCACCAGACAGATTTTATCGATGGTAATATTTTATACTTAAGGCAATTAGCAAATTACTGTATTTGTATTATTTGTGGCTTAGACACATAGACATATTTTGTAATATAAATTTATTATGTAATATAGGAAATGATTTCCCATTTATAAATTAAAAGACAAGCCCAGTTTTTCTTTAAGTACCCCACAATAAAGAATATTTTCCAGGCATATAGAAAAACTTAAAATAATAAAGATATATCCGAGTTTTTTCTTACAATTTAACATCTTAGATAAAATTCCGGTATTAATTTCCAGATTTCATTGCCCATGCATAAATGTCCTGGAAAAATTTGGCGGGGGGGGGGCGAATTCTTATCGCCGCCACACAAATTGAATCTGACATTTCTTGACAGTTCTTGTAAAAAACCCTGTCAAAAATAGCATTTTAAAAGTTATTTAAAACTAGTAAAAACCCTTAATTTTTATTTTTGAAATTTACTATTTAAAACATCCTTTTTCGTATGGTAAAATAAATATAAATTCAGAGTGTGCTATAGTGTTCTGGACTCTGGAATTTAGTGCAAAACATAACATATTACCGCCGAGCATACATGTTACTGCTAAGGCGATAGTCAAGGTACACTGAGAAAAAAATGGGACAAATAAACTGTGTACCTAATACTTTTATTTATAGTGAATATATTGTTTATTACCTCTAAATAGTCGAAATAATAACGATAAATATACTTTAGTAAATCTTTATGTGTCGGGAATAAAAATATATTTAGGATAAATAAACTGTACCCTTGTCCCATATTTAAATATTTTTTTTATTTGGGAGCAATAAACTTTTTTCTCAGTGTAGTAGATTCTGTCAGAGGCAATTAATATTAACATATTAAGCTTACTAAGCTTTCCCCTAGCGGCCTTGAGTTTACGGTGAATTCACCGTTTGCGTGAATTCACCGTGAATACACCGTTTATGTGCAGTGAATATACCGTCCATTTGTGACATTTGTAGACGGTAATTAAACGGTGAACTCACCCTGTTTTTGCGATAAATTCACAGTGATTTCACGGTTAATTCACGGTGATTTCACGGTAAACTCAAGTTTGCAAAATCACCGCAAATTCATTGTCAAAGTACCGTAAATTTATCGTGAAATCACCGTGAATTCACCGTAAAAGCGCTGTGAGTTTACTGTGAAAACATCGTAAATTACTGTACAGTACCACGTGGTAATGTAAATAATAAATTATTTTAATTGTTTGTAAATGGTTGTTTACTTTTTAATAAATAGTAATTTTGTTGCTAATAGACGGTATTAATAATTAAATAAAAAATTAATAATAAATATTAAGATTTTTTTTATTTATAAACATTATTAAATAGTTTGTTTATACTTAAATATTGATGAAGCGCATTTATTTTACAAAACCTAAATTCACAAGTTCAACAGTAAAATTTAAAGGGTTTATAAATTTACCTGCCTACTTAAACATTATATTGTTATTCTGGAAGTTATAAACTACCAGTACATATTTAATAAACGACGACATTGAAAAGCCAAGTCCGTAGTGGTTCCATTGGCCTTGAGTTCACGGTTTATTCACGGTGAATTCACCGTGAATTCACTGTGAATTCACCGTAAATAAACCGTCTGTGAAAAGTGCGTGAATTCACCGTCTAACTACCGTTTACAAATGTCACAAACAGACGGTTTATTCACGGTGAATTCACGGTGAATAAACCGTGAACTCAAGGCCGCAAGGGTCGCGATCGGGTTTTATATACCATTTTTTTTCAAGGATTTAATAAAATGATTTCTTAATATTCTGTCATATCATTTTTAAGTTAGGTTTAACTTACATGATGACATTTTAGCTTTATTTCTGTACGGAGTTTAATAATAATAATTTGACTTTGGAACTAGCTAGTATTAATATCTATAAAAACTTTCTCTATAGAATTATGAGTCTTGCAATATAAACAAATATTGTACGCTTGAAAAAAAAAGATTTTTAATTATATGTAATTGAATTATTTGTGGTTATGTTCGAACACTAAATATAACAGTATGTAGTCATGCGCTCGGGTTTTTAGGCCCGGGAACTGTCGGCATGTCATCGTTACCAGGTTCAAAACATTATTTTTTATTTGATATAATTTTTTAATTATAAGTAACAAAATAATTATAATAATAGTTTTATTACAAAACTTATGTATGATATTCTCATTTACGACATATCAAATTTTGTTCAAAAACCAATTACTCGCGCGGTGTATTTTATACACCAAATAAGAATTTTTTTTTAATATCACAACAAAAAGATGACCAAATCGTATAAAACTATTAAATCACGTTTCAAATACACTAACAAAGGTCATGTAAGGGTGTACACTGTACAGTCAAAGAAAAATTTGAACAGGTAATTATCGCAAGAATTGGGACAGTGGTGACAGTGGTAATACACTATCGCGAGTAATGCAGGTTTAATAAGAGATTACAAACCTATTAAAATTGTTAAACTCTCATAGTTTATATGCTGTTCCAAATCATAAGATAGTATATCGTTAAACTGGACATCTTTATCCCTAGTATCATCTTGTTTCTAAAAAGAAAAAAATAAATTAAATACATGAAACAAATAAATCAAAATAAGGTAGCGTAACTATAGGTACAATACTAAAATATTAAGATAAACAATAAAGTATGGTGCCAGACAGCATAATTATAAAGCACCATATTAGTAGAGCGCTAAATATACAAGTAATCTAAGCCGCCATGTTTAATGCGTTACACACAGGGCTTCTGGCAAAAAATTGGCTTTTTAAAAATGATTAACATAGTGCTAAATATAAAAAATGCTCTGTGTCGCTCACTATTAAACACGACTGCGAAAAAGCAGTTGGCGCCCATTTTAATAGTAAGATACACAAGGAAATGGCTAAAACAATTTCATCCAATCAACTTTTAAGTCATAAGTTCGTAAAAAAAGGTTTAAATGATGAGTTGGAAGTTGCCGCGGCAGAAGTTGCACAGGTTTATCATGGAGTTTGTCATCACCACAGCTATTCAAGTATGGATTGCGGAATTAAACTGAATTCAACAATATGGGGATTCAAAAATATCCAAAAAAAATTGTGGCAGAACCAAAGCAGAAAGAATAGTAGAAAATGTACTTTTACCAAAGTAAATTGAATTGGTTTTGCAAGAAAAGAGCAACTTACCTTTTTCAATTTCTAATGACGCTTTTAACAAAGGAAATAGGAAATTTTTTCCAATTGCTGTAAGGTATTTTAATTTTGAAAAGGGCATTCTGAACAAAATATTAGACTTTTATGAAGATACAGATGAAACTTCTCTAGCTATTTCAGAAAAACTAAAAACTTGTATTTTAAACAAAAATTATAAAAATTTAGTTTCATATACTGCTGACAATGCATCAGTTAATTATGGAAAAACAAATTCTGTTTTTTAAAAATTGTTAACTTTAAATAATAAATTAATTAAAAGTAACTGCCAATGTCATGTGCTGCAAGAAATGCTTGCAAAATATTATTCTATGATGTAGAAATCTTGCTTGCAAAGTATTTGTTGAATTTTTGAACAGTACCAAAAAAAAAGAGGAATTAAAACACTGTTTTGATTTTTTGGAAATGGAATACGAAGAGGTTCTCAGACATGCCCCAACAAGATGATTGTCTTTATATAAAGCAGTAGAACGCCTACTTTCATCTTGGCCAGCAATTAAAGCCTGGAGCTTGGGGAAGAAAACTGTAATAAAGTAATTTATTAAAGATCAAGAGAACACGGTGGATGACGATCTCTCTGTATCTAAGCTTACTTTATCGGAAGCATATTTGTATTTTTTACATCATTGTATGCATATAATGACACAAACTCTACTTAAATTAGAAAACAATATTATTACAATAACAGAAGTAGATGAAATAATGAGATCTTTAAGAGATCAGTTGCAAAATAGAGTTAACAATAGTTTTTTTTATTAGTAAAGTTAATTCAGCCCTAAAGCATTTTAAAAGTGGTAATTTTGTCAAAGAGGCTCTACAAATTTATACCAGAGCAATCGATTATTTAAATAAATGGTATGATTTTGACAACAATGTTTTTTAAAATTTTACTATTTTTAATTTAAAAATGGAGGAGTTAAATTTTAATGATGTTCTAAAAGCAACGAAATTTTTAAATTTAAAATTAATGAAGATGCTCCCTTTGACGAAATTCATACAATAAAAAAGTTTTGCCTGACATCTCCCTGTTTTTTCAACAATACCTGTGGATAAAAATTGGGTAAAAATCTTATCTGCTTAAAACGAATTCAGGGAAGTGGTTAAAACTGTGTCTTGTATTCTTGCAATACCAGTAAGTAATGCATTTGTCGAGGGGATATTTTCGTTAATGGGAAATATTTGGACGGATGAAAGAAATAGGTTTGGTGTTGAACTAGTCAAGGGCGAAATTTGCACTTAAATAAATTTTAATATGAGTTGCGCTGATTTTTTAAATTTTTAAACAATAAAGATCAAATTAACCTTTTGAGATGTATAATTGGATCAAAAAAATACTCGTTTAAAAATTAACACTTAATTTTATGTATGTATGTATGTTTAATGTTAAAAAGTTTCTATGTTTTGTTAATTTGTTTTTAGTTAAAATTTGCAGTTTTATTTTTGTTGTGTAAAGTAATATTTTTATTTTATTTTTAAAAATTGTATTTATTTTTATAATAAAATTTATAAAAATATATGTACCTATGAATAGGTATGTTGAGGTTGTTGGTTCTTCATAATATATATTTTTAATGAAAACAGGCATGTTCTAATAATTATATATATATATATATATATATATATTATGGCGAAGTTCAATTTTAAGTATCAATAAAAATACTTACTTTCGCTCACATACGCGGCAGCTCTCTTTATCGGGAGCGGGTGAGGGTACAGATGGTAAATAATTAAAAATGGGCGCCAGCCAAAAGTAACCTTTTGACAAGGGTAGGAGGGGTAAGTGGGAAATTGTTTCTTTTAGCAACAAAAAAAATAATGAATTTAGTTTTACAAAACTCTATACTCTTTATTTTCAATAGAAAACAATTAAGTTCATCGTTTAACCTGTTTGCTGCAGTAAAATTACCCAATTGTAATAATATAAACAAGTGTTGTCAACACCAAAGAAAAAGAAGTATATAAAAAAATAAAATAAATACCTTTCACGTGATTGGTTTACAGTAAGTAAAATGTTGTAAATTCTAAACCTGGTGTTGATTAACTTGTGTTGACTAAATTTCTTGTTCCAGCCAAACAGGAATGGATAATGTTCAAATGCCTTGGGTGGGCTTCGTCCACATAAATATGACAACAGCAACAACTCTGGTCACACGAACAGACACAGCAAAGCAGGAAATAACGTAGCAGGACACAGTGCAGCAGGACACGACTTAGTAGGACACAGTGCAGCAGGACACGACTTAGTAGGACACAGTGCAGCAGGACACGGTGCAGCAGGACACAACTTGGTAGGTATTTCTTCACAAATGACCCTTGTAACCTCAAATTTGGTCTCCAATAATATTGATTATTTCTGTTTTAGCGATAACGTTCTATGATAGATAGATGTATGCCCAACTAGGCTTGCTAAACAATGTATAATACAAACAGAAAGTAAAGAAGGCCTAAAAGAGAAATATCACTAAGCATGTTTTCGAAAACACAGGAAAATCTGTTATAATAACAAAAATATAATTTACCTTAGATGTCAGGTGGCCTTAAAGTATTAATGGTGATTTATTTAGTTAATTTTATTAAACGATGGTCGAAACTAAAGCATATTATTTGGTTCTCCCTTTCAACGCTACCAAAAGCTTCGACCCAAAAATCACAATGGCCTCCTTGACCGGAAGTTCTGTCAAAAATCCCTTAATCAAATCTAATTGGCCGACCAATATTTATAAAAAACTTAAATATGGTAAGTTAACTTTAATAATTAATTACTTAAATATGATACTTAATAGCTTTTTCCTGTGTTTTGCAGCTCAACAGAGGTTCCCAAAACGGTTCATTTAATATACTTTGGATATTTCTAATAAATATGAAAATAAACATTGTTTATAACCTCCAAGCCGTGTTTACCATGCCACAATAACAAACCAAGTCGTGTTTACAATACCTAACTGCATGTAATAATTGTCCGCAACAACGATAAATGGCATGATAACCTGGTTGCCTAATAGTAATTCGAATAAATTAATTTTAAAACAATTTTTCATTTTTTATTTACTGTTTAAACACTAAAAACCCGTTACATACCCCCTGTTCTTACCAAAAAAAATATTTTTATTATTAAAATATTTTTTTTTTTTTTAAATTAAGAAACCAAATACCCTTCTACTAGTTTTGCGAAAGTCACCATGGACCTGCATCACTATTAAAATAAGCCAGAATAAATTCATTACATAAAAAAAAATCAAATGTTTCCTTTAACCCAACCATACTAATATAACTATTATAACACTTAGTCAAAATTATTTCACGTCAACATCGAGTATCTATCGCGTACTAAACGTAAAAAAATAACATCGTAAAGTCCTCGGGGTATCTATCGCGTACTAAACGTAAAAAAAATAAAATCGTAAAGTCCTCGGGGTATCTATTGCGTACTAAACAAAAAAATAAAATCGTAAAGTCCTCGGGGTATCTATTGCGTACTAAACAAAAAACAACCACCTTCATTCTTTCACAATCATACTAGACATTCGTTCACATTCATCAATTTAAGCAGAAAATTCATTCACTATCACTACCGTTACTTTCACTCGAGTCAAAATCGGGGTTTGGACCATTATATGGTTTCAAATCTTTCACGTGCCAACGACCTAGGACATTTCCAGCTAAGTCTTCTAAAACATATACCAGGGGCGAAACAACAGTTCTGACTTTACAAGCAACGTATTTAGGCGCCAATTTTGCAGCAAAATGTTCGGGTCCTCTTGATAAAACATAGTTGCGCTTCCAAACCATATCATTAACATGAAACGAATCCGGCTGTCGCTTCCGCAGGTTATAGTAGCGAGCATTTCTTTTATATGCCTCCCTTAATCGTTGTCTAATATCCAAATAAAGAGCAGGCAGATTTTCTATATCGTTTGCATAAGCATTACGGTCAATGTTTTCTAGGTCAATGGTGTTATCTACAGCCCCATAATAGTCTCCTCTTGCCGTAACGTATCTTCCAAAATTTAAAAACGCTGGACTCATTCCTGTAACTTCATGCACAGCAGTTCGAATGGCAAACCCAATTTTGTGAATTACTTCGTCCCAATTTCGGTGATCATGATCGTCAATGTATGACCGTATTGCAGCTCCTATTACTCTATTTATTCTCTCAACAGCGTTACTCTGAGCATGATATTTTACGTTGTAGAATGGCTTGCATTTATAATCTGCCAGAAAGAGTCTAAAAGCGTTACTTGTGAAAACTGTGGCGTTATCGCACATGACGAACTGAGGAGTTCCAAAAATCAGAAATACCTGCTCCTCCAAAAACTTAATGACGTTAGGTGCACTTACCTCACGAAGAGGATGTAAC